TGTGAATTGTGATTCACTAATTTGTAAATATATATATAATAATAAAATTTAAAAATATTTGGTTGTTGAATCTAAAACTATAACTGAACAAAAACTAGAACCAAATTATTCTTACTTCTAAGAATTAGAATCATTAATTTTTTTTTGTAAAATCGAACCGAACCACTTGATTTGGTTTGAATCTGATTTGATCATTTTGTCCACCCCTAATATTGATAGTTGATATCACTAGATAGTTGATTTCACTATTTGAGAAACGTTCTAAACAGTCATCCTGCATCGATCATTTTCACGCAATTAGATGTACTTAAAATTTTGTTAAATAACCCCTAAAACCATCAAAACCTACCTCAACCTCTTCTACCCAAACCCAGTATTAATTGACCAAAAACCTAATCCAAAATTGAAGTGTAACAATTACATAAGATTGAACGAAGACGATAGAGAACATCATACTTCACACCTACAAGTCAGATTAATTTCTAGGTTCAATTACTTCCGTAAGGAAACACTAAATCCTGTTTCACTCCAATTTTTCAAATTCATCTTTCCTTAAAACTGATTTTCCATCACATTTCATAAACTTTCATAAAAAATTATTAAAACGCTGATTTTACCAAACAGATTCATAGCAGCCCACATACTAATATAGTATACGACGACAAGCAAGAACTGAAAAATGAAAAGAAGAAAAACCACAGCAGTTTGGATATCGATAATTCATCTCAAGCACATCATATAAAAAGTTACTTTCCACTTCAAAACGCAAGTGACATGAAGCCATAACAAAGGTAAATAAGCTGCATGTAAAGTTTTTCTAGTTTGTGAGCTCCATGATAGCAGAGACGATGTCTCCATCAGACTCCTTGAGAGCTTTGACAGCCCGGGATCTTGAAACCCCGGCTTGAGTCATCACCAGTTCTATATCCTTTGGTTCAACACCAGTCTCATCTACGTCTTCATCATCCTGTGCAACTGTCACTGGTTCGGGCTTTGGAGCAATATTGCTGATATTAGGAGCCTTGAACTGCTCGGCAGCTTGTGTCTGCAACTGTGAACTCAAATCCTCAATCTTTGCCTCGCCAAAGATGACATATGTGTCTGAATTGGGGCTCTTGAAAACATCCGGCTTTGAGATGACAAACAGGATCTGAAACACGAGTATCAGAAAAACAGAGGTCTCAGTTGACATGAAAGGTTATCGTCAGAGTCCGGGACATTCAAAAAAGTCAATTAGAAAATAACTATCAAAACCAGTGAAAAGACTGACGTTCTTGCTCTTCTTAACAGTGACACGGCTGACCCCAGGGATGGGCTTCATTCCTAGTTTTAGCATAGCCTTGCGACTCTTTTTCTCACTCCGGCTCTGCTTTGACCTACCACTGGCATCTCCTTCTCCTGTCAAGAGTTACCAGTATTATATTCATTGATTGAAACACAAAACTGTGCCTCTACTTTTCATTAAGGACTAAAATTTATAATGAATAGCTGAGATTTAGCTCATGCATACAGTGCACAGTTCAAACTAATCAAACCAGGGTATTATCCTGGAAATGCAATAACACGTTTAGTAGGTATATTTACAAATAATACATTTTGATATCTAGTTTTCTGCCTACAAGTGAATCCAATCATGAGTTTTAGCAAAGTGCAAATTGAATTTATATCGACTTTGTAAGCATTCTAGGTGGAAGGTGGATCAAAAATGTTTGAGCTTTCTCTTTATGCTCTTTTGAGCAAGAACACTTGCAGTTGCAAAGCTTTCAGTTGTGCATATCTGCCTTGGAAGTTTTTAATGCAGTAAAGTTTTTACCTTTCAACCATTTTTTGCAGTACACGGATTATATTTGAACTAGTTCTTTTACATATTTCATTTTAACTAGATTGCCTTCCCATGACTAGAGGATTGCCAAACTGGGCATTGAAAACCAATTACATAACCCAAGGAATGCACAAATTAGCTCTAATCCACTCAGTAGAAACCATTTCTTTTTCCATGAGAGGAAATAAAATAGATAAATGGGGTATCAATCAGGAAACGAAAAAGGAGAGAAACGCTGACGCTTTCAATGGCACATGAAAATATATAAATAAATTTCAAATAGCATAAGGAATCGTCAAGATCCTTCCCCTATCAAATAACTCGCAAGAGTTAAGAATTCAGTGCATATGACTTCCACGAATTCAAGAGGGACGATGAAACCAAATAATAATCATCTTGAGTGGCATGTATCCAACCAACTACGATAATGTTCCACAACATTGACTTTCATCTATTGAGCTTCAGTAATAGAACGCATGTGATAGATCTATAAATTAAGAATTTGCATTACCTGGACCACACAGTCACAGTCATGAGTCATGCTTGAAAACATACCTTCAGCACCTTCTTCATGATCATCCTCTTCATCATCTTCTTCATCGTCGTCATCATCATCCTCAATTATTGGCTCCTCCTGCTGCAAAAATAAGTGTGACTCAATAAATAATCTATTTTTTGTTGCACGTGTCCCTTTTCGTATATATATGGACGGAGCGGGAAGCTGGAATTAATTGTATCCTACAACACAAACAAATACTTGAAGGCAAACAAATGAGAGGTCTCCATTCTTCCAGCATTAGTACCTCACCCGTCCCAGGGGCATGTATAGGACCATAAATGACGTGGCCCTTGAACTCTATAGTCTATTTGGCACTGAATTGGTTCCTTCGAACCATTTTTAGCATGCAAATGTTTCGTGTATAGAACAATATATGCGCCACTACTATATATCTATATTAAGACGAAGACTTAAATGCATAAATTAGAAATTAGAAGTTGCAAAATTTGTATGACATTAACCATATAACAAAGCACGATTGCAGAATTGAGTTCAACAGATCCTTCAGAGTGGAGCAACCGGAATAGATATCAAAGCAGTGGGTATGGATATGTCAACTATGTATATTTGTTACCAATGTGATTAGTCCTCCTTAGAGGTGTTGATAGGCAAGATGGTCTAAAAACATTGTGCATATGGAATAAGATACATCATTTAAGATACCATACAAATCCAGATCAAGAAAAAAAAAATCACATTATGCAACAAAATTGTGCCTCAAAACAGCTTATCTTTTCTGTCGTGACAGGAATGCTAGTAAGATGCCGTACTATGGGCTATGTAAGACCCACACACATGCTATAAAATTCAAATAAGAGTGTAATGGGATAGCTGCACGTTATCTGGACAATTGCTAGATTTTCTTTTGCAAACAATATATTAATATACGTAAATTGTTTCACGACATTAGACATGCTTTTGAGGTGACACGTTTTTTAGTCTAGATTATTTTACAAAGCCAACCAAGTCATTGCAATTGGACCATAGCACTAAAATATTAGATTTGGTTTTCAAAAGATTTTTTGTTTGAATACACTAATCCAAGAAAACCAGGGTGTGCATTAGATATGAAACAGATACTAGAAGCTGCAAGCGTACCATCATAGCATTAGACACGTGTAATATGAAAATTCCAATAAAATGTAGCATAGCAATAGGAGTAATAGTTAATGAATCCATCCACTAAATAAATTGTCCAATCATTTACAATTTCATATTTACTACATTGAAAAATCATTAGGAAAAAGAGACGGATAACAAGAAATCATAAGAGGGTAACATGAAACAGCTAACTTGCACAATCCGTGAGGTTCTAAAGATTTAATGCATATTTAATTGATAATGTAAGATATTAGGTAATTGATTTATGATATGTATTCCACCTTAACAAAAACGATGAAACCTCCTGACTTATCGTAGAGATCCAGGGAGCTTCAGTATAAATATTATAGAATTTTTCAAATAAAAAATTGGACGGCATATAGCCAAAATATAATCATTTAAAAAATTGGACGGCATACGGCCAAAATATAGAGCATGTTTGGCAAAGCTTAAAATCCAATTAAAATTGAAAATATAGCCGTTATTGGGTCTCACTCGTCTAATAAAAGTCAACAAAAAGGACTAGTTTTTTAATTTTAATTCGATTTTAATCTCTACTGAACACGCCACTAATGAGTTCAAGAT